TCCTCGAGAGCCTGACGAAGCTGATCTTCGGTATATTGAGGCATTATATATAGAAGAAGACATGTGCAAAAGATGAGCCCATTTGGACGCGAATTGAAAATGTTGTGATAAAAGGAGGTTGGGGGTGGGCATTGGGTTGTGGTGGATTTTCGCGTTTTTGTGGGTGCCAGAAACAGGGGGGTGCCAGGAAGTGGGTATGTTGACTTACCGCAATTGTAACCTTGCGATGCGTCGGCCAGTTGTAGGGATCATCGGGGTCTTCCAGGCTGTCCCAAGTCGCCTTTTCTCTCGTAATAGAATGAGTGAGGAACTTGAAGTCGCAAGGATCATAGCCATATGCTTACTCCATACTTCTCGTACAGCTCTCGCAACACCGCTTGACCCGAGTTTGGTCCTGATGTCGCTTCGGTATCATGGTTCATGTCGTTATTTCCTGCTGTGTTCTGGGACATTTTATCTGTAAGTCCAATGTGCTTCTCTAAATGTGTAAGGCTTGTGATCCGAGACTTAGTTCTCTTGATTTTGACAGAGGAAGTGTCGCAATGAAATCGGTGTCCTAATCTTGAAAACTGCGGATGGGTGACGTTTTTTAAACCGTGACGATGACTCCTACTGACCTCGTCTAGTCGATTGCCGACTATTACTCGGCTCCGAGGCCCATGAGTCGGAATCTGATAAATCAGTCCCTGCAGTGCCTAGCTGAATGCAGTATTACAAATTGCATGGCACGAATCCTTCGGAACTTTTGCGGGACACGTGCGATGAATCACACCTCAAGGGAGGTATCATTCAACCATGTTGACTCCGGTTTTAAGTCAATGTTAAATCATCAATGACCTAGGTGAGTCTGCAAGCGCCTCTTCTGCTCTCAGTATTTTTGTAAGTGATGAATTCGTTTGAGCTCATCCAGTGCATTGTCCTAGCGCTTGGGTTTTACACTTGGTAGAGCAACACCGATTCTACTAATGTCTGCCCTAGGGGGAATGGTCTCTAAGGATGCGATGCGTACATTCACATACACATACAGTGAAGTGTCCCAGCTGCACTTATCATCGCATCATGGGCAGCGAGCATTCTTTAAGGCATCTTCCAAAAAATGGAGCATAACAACGCGGCTGGCTTGGACCTAGATTCTATCACGATACCGGAATCCGATCTAGATCACGTCCATGGTTTGAGATTAGTTCCTTGGCAAATGGATGTGCAATCCATTGCAATCGCGGTAGGCGACAAGGAATGATGCAAATCGGCGAGGAACACGGAAAAGAGACTCATTCTAGATGTGCTAAGCGCTTGGTAAAATGATGTAGACCGTTGGAGCATCCAGCTTCAATTGCAATCTCCGACCCAACCCCTCTCGATTCAACTCGTCTAACCGTGCAGGATGATCAATACTTGGGTCTGCAATGTCTTCAGCAACCATTGCGGTGCCTACCACTTGAAGTCTTGCGCTACAGTCCGTGCAGCTGACCTTAGATCTCCGAAATGTGGAAAACTCTGTTGGTCTCACGAGCAGTGCCATTTTGGTGCCCTGGACCCAGAAAATAAGATCACCCCGTGCTGCTTGGCCTGGAGCAACCCCCATCTTCCATGGCGTCGAAGATGTTCTCCCATAGCCTGTGTAAAGCTGGTACAACAAAATATCTGCTGTCTCTTTTGTAACCGAAATAGTGTCGAGGGAGCTGGAAATGTCACTCGATCCAAGTCTTGACTTCTCCTCTGCTGGCCAAGTCAAACATTTACTTAGTACAAGTCCTTGTCTGCTACGGCAACCCCATGAGATGAGACTTTGATGATTGAGACATAGTTTTGATAGTTCCGCTTCTGTCTTGCTCAAGATGGTCCTTAGAAGGTTGTTGCTTTGCGCAAAGGCAGAGCCAAGATCATGCTGGTAGTTGGCTTGCACTCTGAGAGACCATGCATCAACTTCGCTCAGTTTACCGGCGACATCTTTCGCCGAAGGCCCAATAGACTGAATGCAACCAATCAACGACCCCATTATGCTGAAGGCTCTGGATTCTTCGGCGTTTGCGTCGAATGAAATTTCGCCTTTTGTTGTGTATGGTCGTAGCACTTCTTGAAGGGGCGTACTTTCCACTCCCATAAGCAGAAATTTCACCAACTTTCCGTATTCGATAATGTTATCCTCTTTCTCTTCCTCGAACATTTGATGGCTGTTCATGAACTCCATAGTGTCTGTCCAGATCTGAAATAGCGATTTATCGTAATCAATCCTCGGAAAGCCGTGGCCATCCACCGCGAGGCCGATCAATCCATAAATTTTGTCCCTAGGATCCTTGCAGAGAGCGTGTTTGTGTTGTGAGAGGAGTCTTTTGAGCCTGTGGGAGCCTTTGAATCTCTTATCAATTTGCTCATCCAGCAACATTGGTCCTTCGGAAGGAATTTGGTGCAGAGTCAGCATCATAATAAAGTCTTTCCAGTACATGGCTGTAGTACCGAAGCAGACGCGCCTCTTCTGAGCAAGCCCAATCTCTTGGATGATCCAGACTCTCTTCCAATACTCGTCTTTTACCAACTCAAGCATCATCTTGTGCTGAAGATCCAGGTCCGCTGTATGTGTTTCGTCACAGGATTCGGGAGTGGTGGAAGAGCGCCGCAAGGCCCCGTCCAGGAAGATGTCGTTAGGAGTCACGCGCGAAGTAAGAGGTCTCATATTTCCCTCGTATCTCGAATAAGAGCTCCCAAGCCATATCACGACCGTGTCTGCTCTGAAGTATATGTGGCTCATAATGGAGACCTGTCTATTGCGCTCCTGTACGTTTCCTTGGTCAATACAGATTGCGTCAACCCAAAGAAGTCCAACGTTGCCTTGGTTTCGAAGATATGAGAGGGCATCGTGGAGATTCTTGCCCACGGATAAGGCAAGGCCGTTAAGTATGATTGACTGTGTAAAAGCTTCTCTGCCCCATCTGTACGACAGAGCTTCATAGCTTGGTCTCGCGCCGAATGCAAGGTGCACCAAATCGCAGCTGATAGGGTCCTGATCATTTCTTGCAGGGTGGATCCTCAAGAATCGTGTGCAGTCGATTGCTTCGTCCAAGGGCTGATACTGGAAAGCTGCAGTCTTATCTAGCGGTCTAGGATCAGAAAAATGTTTCGTCTCTTTGGCTGACATTGTAGTAAGAATGCTCGTGGCACCTTCCCAGAACTTCTAAAAGCTAGAAATAAAGTTCCGTGTTCAAAGGTCACAAGCTGTGACTGAAAAAGATCAAATGAGAACTGTTGGTATTGGAGGGAAACCTCTCCAGCTGATCGAAGCTACTGGGTTAGAAAGCACAATCGGCACAAGAGCCCCTCCTGAAACTCATGAGCAAATCTTGCATTACCCCTCAATTTGGTATTGCCTGATGAAAGCCTTACTTTAGGCAGCAGAGCGCTTGATGACGAACTTCAATTGGCGTAAACGCTCAACCTGCATGAAGGCAGCCAACGACCATTAAATACACCCGGCCATCTGAGATTGAAGCGTGAACATAATCCATTGGTTCACGCAACCACCATAGTCCTGATCCCGATTTTCTAGCCTTCATGTTCTTTGAAATTAACACTACAAATGGTCTGATAGACTGAGCTGCACATTCTGCAAGGCTGTAAGCATCGGTGTCAATGACACAAAATCTCCAAGCCCTGGTTTTCTAGAAGCTCTGGCGGTCATCGACCGTCCAACCCATGTCTCAATGTGCTGTTAAAATGGTGTTGGGGTTAAGGCTTATAATCTAGTGGTCTGAATGATTCCTCGCTCTGCTTCTCAAATCTCATGTGCTCGAGAATGTTGCATACGGATGCGAAACTGAGACTTGGATCCAAATGATGACCTGATGCCGAAAGAGTCATCGCAACACATATCGCGGTCCCCGAGTCAGGTGATTATCGATATCTGTCTCAATTCGACCTTCTCCATACGCGTGTTGTTTGCAAACTCAAAATAAATGAAAGCAATCAAGGGGGTCCCATGCAGTGAACCTAGTGAATTTTGGGTTGAGATAAAAACGAGATCCCGTATCACTAGAGATTGATGTGATTGAGGTGTCATATGAGTACTACACAAAAGCAGTGGATCCAAATGGCATCAATTTTCATCGCTCGATGGATCGAAGCAGCCACTTTGGCTTTACCCCGTCAAAACCCCTTGAGACTCCAATCTCCTTTGGTCGAAATGTGGTTGAACGTGGTTTTCGGGCTCAATCTAAGGCTGACTCGTGTAACTACTTGCTGACAAGCTTTGATCTTCAACCTCAGCGTTCTTAATCCGTACGGCCCTTGCTTATCTGACAGCAATTTAGGACCCCGGACTCATCTGCTAATTGAGTTAGCTCTGATAACGAGAACTGGACAACTACCCGGTCCAAACACTTATCTCAATGACGACTTGACAAGAGGTAAGAGATATTGGAACCGTGTGCTTCCTTTCGTTCTTTTCTAGTAGCTCATGACATCCGACCAGACATAATGCTGGTCCAAAAAATGACAAAACCCTTGGTTCTCTACGCTGTACCTCCACGCGAGGGACACATGCGACCAGCGCTTCAAATCACCAAACATCTCATCAGCAGCGGCTTCGACGTCACGGTCTTGGGAACAAAGAGGTGGAAGCCGACAATCGAGGCAGTTGGGGCCCACTTCAGTCCCATCATCGGACTCTGGAAAACCCTCGACGATCCATCTCGCTGGCCAGACATCGCACACGCATCGGATCCAGCCACGAGACTTGCCGCATCTCTCGATGGGGGATTCATCTCGTTGCTACCAAGCGGGCTGGAGTCAGTGCGGGTGGCGTTGGCGGGTATGAGGCGACGAGAGCCCGGCTGCCAGATCATCGTTCTGTCGGATACGTGCTTTTCTGGGACGCTGGCGTTGAAGTTGGGCACCGACTTGCCAGAACTGTTTGCAGAGGACGAGGTTGTTCGGACTATTGGGATCGGTGTCGTTCCAGTGTTCTGGACCAGCCCTGAGCGGCCATCGTGGGGATCTGGACTCCCTTTCGACGACAGTGAGGAAGGGCGGGCAAGGAATGCGAAAGAATTCAAGGAGACGTGGAACAGCAGTGCTGAAGATCGCGCGAGGTGGATTTTGGGAATGATGGGATGTCCCAAGCCCGTTGAGTGCCTTTACGATGGACTCTCAACGAGCATAGAACATCCCTTCTGGGACGCATCGACGGTCTGTCACGACACAGTCCTGCAGATGTGTCTCCCAAGTCTTGAGTTTCCGTCATCCGACTGGCCACGGAAAATCAAGTTCGCGGGCACACTCCCGATCAAACCTATCCCAACTGACCTCACATATCCAACGTGGTTCAACGACGTTCTCTCAAACAGCTCATCTCTCCAGGTATCAAATCTCAATCGCAAGAAGATCATCTTTGTGGCCCAGGGAACGGAAGTCCTGGACCACAAGGAACTCATCATCCCGACAATGAAGGCCTTCGCTACACATCCCGATGTTCTAGTCGTCGCGTGTCTTTGCGTGACCGGAGCGACCCTCGACACAAGCACTTTCAAGGACCGGAAATTGCCCGCAAATGCTCGGGTGGTGGATTACTTCCCGTATGACGCGATTCTGGCACACGCGGACGTCTTTGTGTCGAACAGCGGGTACGGAGGGTTTCAGCATGCGGTTTCGAATGGTCTTCCTATGGTGCAAGCAGGCAACACGTTTGACAAGCCAGACATTGGGAGAAGGATCGAGTGGTCTGGCTTGGGGGCGTTTCTAGCCGAGTCACCTCCATCTGTGAGCGCCGTGGAGCAGGCAGTCACAGAGGTTCTGGGTGATGAGAAGTATAAGAGACGAGCAGAGGAGCTTAGGAAAGAAGCGGGCACGTTTGATCCGTTGCGAATGATTGAAGAAGAGATTATGCTCTTAGCTCAGTCGACGATGCCTTCGTCAAGCTAAGCAAATTGTATGGTGTTCAAATGACAACAAGACTAATCAGCAACCTGGCCTTGCAGGCAAAAGAGATACTGTACGCAATTATTCAATCATGACTTCTCTATCAGTGTAGATCTCCCAGGCTGGTTCAGCTCCAGCAACCGCAAGCCGTCGCCATCTACTCCTCGTCGTCCATTTCCTCCCCCCCATTCTCAAAATCTGCCTCACGCTAAAGGATGTTAGCTGCCTGTCTTCGGCGATGTCATATAGCAGCAAAAGATTCATACCCCGAGGCCTCCTTCCGTGTTCTGAAGTTCCATCATTCCGTACACAACGTCCGGCAACTCAAAGTCTTTGGGAGCGGTAATGATACCAAACTCAACCAAGCCATCAAAGTTGCTACCCCACCAGCTGCGGCCATAGAATCCGACAATACACTCGTCTGCTTGCGCCTCTGTTTTGTTACACCAAGTCAGTAATCTCATGTGGCAAATTGGACACCAGGTTGCTTACCAAGAGTCGAGGTCTCGGGAACATCCTCATATCCCGTCAAAGCACCACCAGACGAGCCATCACTCAGGTGAATCCTCATACCGCGCAGGGTATCCTCCTCCCTAGACACCTCAATCTTGACAATCTCTGCACCCTTAGGGATCTTAACCTCCTCGGAGGCATGACCGCCAAACGTATGCTCACCACCACCCCACTTATTGATCCGAGGACCACAGTTCACACGATCGCCGTCAGGGAAATGCACATACGCGCCGTCAAGGATACATCCAGTCCGCACATCCACCGAGTTCGCCCGCACAACAGACCCATCGCGCTTGCGGCGTGTAAGCAGCGTCGCCCACGACCAGAACTTTTCTCCCTCGCCATCATCGGCCGACTCCTCGAGGTCCTTCGTCACGACGGATCGCTTGCGCAGAAGGACGTCCGACCCGGGAATGCGGACGTACGTGGTCGATGAGAAGACACGCCAGAGATCGCGCACCGTCTTGGTCTTGCCGTTCATACCGAGCACGTAGAGCTTCAGGCTCTCGTCGCGGGAGAAGCGGGCTTCGAGTTCCTTGAGTGTGTAAGACACTTTCCAGGCCGGGCAATCCATGGATGGAAGGAGTTCAGATTTGTCGTTGAACTCCATGCGAGCGAGGTTGGCTGCGCAAGCAATCTCAACTCCGACATCATCAGTCTCAATGTTGATGAGTGAGACAGTCGGGGCGCTCGATCGCTGCACCACTGACAGTCTGGTATCGCCGGGTAGCCAGAAGTGGTTGAGGGACCGGAAGGACAGGGCATCCCGCAGATCCCACCTAGCATCGTTCTCCGTCTGCCCATCAACCACGACAAAACCCTCCTTATTGACCTTCTGAGAGTACGCCGTCTTGACAAGGAAGTTTCGGGGCCAGTGGCCAGAGTACCCGCGCGCCATGATGCCAGTCGTATGCGGAGCCCCAAAAGCATGTCCGACCTCGTGCAAGAACGCGCCCTGCCCAATCGAACAAGCCTCCCAGAACGTCCCGCACTCTCCGTTGTCGTCGCCGACAGTCTGTCCCGGGGCGCGAGTGTCGAGAAGACAGTCCGAGACTTCCTCTAGGAACCGAGGCCACGAGTACGTCAGGTGACTGCCCATCATGCCGAGGGACACACCAGTCGGGTTATGACATCCCAGTGCGGCGTGACCGAGGATGAGTTTCTTGCTCACAGAAAAGTGCGAATCAAGAATCATACCCGCGACAACTGGATGCGCCGAAGCCTCGAAAGGCGAACCCTGGGCCGCAAGGGCATCCAAAAAGTAGTCAAACAATCCATCTCTTGACTTTGCGGTCTCGTTCTGTTGTGCAACCTCCGCGTCACGGATCTCTGCCGTCGTCCTCTCCGATCGAACAATATGGACTTTGGCAGTAGAGCGCATGGCACCACTGTCAAAGAGAGCAGCTTCATGCAGCCCGTTCAGAAACTCGCGGCTAGTCGTGTCGGCAGCCCATTCCTCCTCCAGCCTAAAGGAGCGACGGCCGAGACCCTTGAGTCGCATGTCTTCGGCAGTGAGGGCCTGCCACATGTACGCAGACATGCGAAGCTTGGCGATGGCGGCGTCGAGGGAAGCATGGGCTGTGGAAGAGGCACCGTGTTTGAGGGGCGGGCAGTCGATGAGGAGAGGGGAGTCCTTTGCGACCATTACGGCGAGGTGGAGAGGGGGTGATTGGAGGAGGGGGATGTATGTTAGGTTGAGCTCGTTGGCGATGG